AGCTGATCTCTACATCTCCAAATATGGCCTTCTGGTAATTGAACTACTTCTGTCCTGATGATCTTCCCTCTTTTTGCTATCAATAGCCCATACTTATCTAGTCTGGACAACAACATGCTAATGTCCTTGCTGTATATCCTAGTTAGGTGGATTGGTGAGTCAATGTTCCATTCACTCTTTGCATACAGCATGATGTTGTCCCTGTAGAGTAGGTGGCTGATGGTAGCTCCACTCTTGAACCTGTATCTGTAGCCACTCTTCATCATGATTTGGCTAAGGGGATTGAGGCCTATGCAGAACAGCATTGGGGATTGCACATAACCTTGATATAGGCCACATTTGATGTTCACTTGTGTTATTGTCCTGATTTTTGGCTTCTGAAGTTGTTTTTCATTTACCCATCAAGTTCTTGATGAGGTCTCCTATTGTATTGTTGACCATGTATAGATCCAATCATTCCAGTGACCATGTGGCTTACTAACTTCCTTACATGTTGCCTTTGTTTTGTCATCCAGTCTTAATTTCCAAGGTGGGCATTGTTTCTCCTTCAGATTGATCTTGCAGTTAAGCATTTGGAGGACCACTAATGCTGTGGCATATATGAGCCTTTTGGTCTTTGTGATGATTGTTGGTTGGGACAGTGCCTCATTAACCGCTGTTAGCATACAGTTTTCCAGTGATCAGTGGTAATCTTGTCTGGTGGTCAAGGACTGTTAGCATTGCTATGGTCAGCTTTTCTTGACAATTCGAGCTTGCAACCCTCAGTAAGTATAGGTGTGGGTATGGAAATTCCCTTGACTCTTGTATAATGTTTTGTGTAGTCTATCTAATTCTGGGTGTGACACTAGCTTTCTCTTGATATTGTCCAAACATTGTATAACTAGCTGCTTTGGCGTTTGGATAGTTGAAGGTCTCTTATTCGTCCATAGTTCTTACATACAAGTTTCATTTACAATTCTCATTGGGGTTACTGTTGTAGTAGCATTTAAGAAGGTTAGGTTTGCACTTCAGTCCAGGAATGGTTTGGTCCAATAGCTGACTTATTGACAGATTACATAAATATATCTATTTGGAACCACTAACCCCCAACATTTTTTGCATAAATGGGAGTATATTCACTTTAAAATGGTCATATTATTTAAATGAATTCAATACACATGTACATAGTTTGATTTAACAGACCCTGCCTTAGATTAATTTAATGTTTAAATATTACCAGTGCTGGTCTGCCTTTGTGTTATTATCAGGGGTACATAGCAATACGGTTATGTACTCTATGTGCAGAGTGTACGTGTTTGCACAATGTATCAGGTTTATAATGCAGACTCTATAAAGGATTGTTCTGTCTGTATTGTGAAGTCTCATTCGTACAACTGCATTTGTACTCTACTGCGTTATGTTCTGTATGACAGCAAGCCTGTCGAGACCAACTCATTCTTTCAGTCTCAATCATGTTTAGCATCACTGATCTTATAGACATCAAAGCCAGTGTTATTCTTTATTGTTTGAAATTTTCAATTAAATTGTCATTTTTGGTTCGGAACCCCTAAATATCCGTCATTGGGGTCCACGAACCCTGACAGTCACGCAACAGGAAACATTTAGATTAAATAATACTAGGGGGATGCTTCATTCTTCTTCACTTCAGACATGCAGTCATGCAATCCTCGGACTACACACAGCACAAGTTTTATCTGAGATGTATAGCTAGAGGGTAAGCATATTTATGAGCGGTTCATGAAAAAGCAAGTTGCAGTGCTGCAGAGTAGCTCAGGAATCTGTACAGAGCTCATTCCAAATGATGCACATTTTCAAAAGGTATGTAGTGTTTTCTATTTGAGCTGTTGTGGATTACAAAACCTATCTTCCTTAACCAGCATTCCAGCATTCCATATCCAGCAATGAACCAATGACAAAAGCCTTTCTCCATACAGATCATTATGTGTTGCCCTTTAATTGACATGACTTTTGAAAAACTTTCATAACAATTTAAATGACAACAGCCTATTTGCTATAAACACAAGAGTTAGATTTACTAAGTCTACTAAGTAAAGATTTGTGTGTGCAGAGCCCAGTTCTATATAAAAACAAATTCATTGGTTGTATATAGTTCTTCACATTAGTAACTCTCCCTATATCCATGCACCATTAACCCCTTAAGGACCAAACTTAATTTGTTTGGTTTTCAATTAAGGACCAAAGCAATTTTTACAGTTTTGCTCTCTGTGTGTTCAACTGCAATTTCAATCTTTCTCATTTACTACACTAAGACAGATTATATATCATTTTTTTAAAGGACAAAAGGGGATTTAATGTGATGTGACATATGCATATTTATAGATTCTCATTTGTTATAGCACGAAAATGCATCAAAAGATGGAAAATAAAAACACATTTTTTCACAGGTTTGGCAATAACCATGTGTACATAATTAGTGCAGCTTAAGAAAAGTAATTCAAAATAAATTATTTCTTTCTCATTATTTACAGAGTATATAGTATGTCTAGAATTTCAGTTTAGTAAGATCAAAAAATTCCAGAAATGTAAAATAAAATTTGAATGTGGAGCGATTTTAGAAGTTGGTATGTTTGCCTTGTAAGTTTAATAGCATCACAGAAAACTAAATTACCACACAAAAGTATATATTTATATAATGTAGACATCATAAGTTATTTACCTAAAGGTATTTTGACACTTATTATATAGCTAAATAACTGGCAATCTCTGCTAAATATTGTAGCAAAATTTTGTTATTTTCTGATTTTTAACATATATACATATAACAAGTTTTCTTTCATGAGTATTTCCTAAACTTGATGGGTACTACTACAGTGCAAAGCCACACATTGTGTTGCTATTATTATTATGTTATTATTATGTTATTATTTATATAGCGCCAACACATTCCGCAGCGCTTTACAATGGGTGGACGAACAAACATGTAGTTGTAACCAGACAAGTTGGACACACAGGAACAGAGGGGTTGAGGGCCCTGCTCAATGACCTTACATGCTAGAGGGAGTGGGGTAAAGTGACACAAAAGGTAAGGATCGTATTAGACTAATGACAGTTGCAAGAGAGGAATCAGTCGGGAGCTACTACCAGTTTAATTGATACACTTTTATGAAGAAGTGGGTTTTTAATGATTTTTTGAAGTTGTGGAGACTGGGTGAGCATCTAACGGAGGAGGGAAGTGAGTTCCACAGGAACGGTGCAGCCCTTGAGAAGTCTTGAAGGCGAGCATCAGAGGTGGGAGTATGGACAGAAGATAGAAGTAAGTCTTCAGCAGAGCGTAAGGGTCTAGACAGGACATACTTGTGTATTAGGGAGGATAGATAGGTGGTAGCAGCATTATATATGAGATTTGAAAGCAAGAACCAGAATTTTAAATTGAGCCCTATATCTTACAGGAAGCCAATGTAGGGACTGACAGAAGGGTTGTGCGTGGGCGGTGTGGGCGGACAGGAATATGAGCCTCGCCGCTGCATTCATTAGGGACTGTAACGGTGCAAGTTGGGAGCACGTAAGACCACTGAGAAGCGGATTACAGTAGTCAAGGCAAGAAAGAACAGTAGAATGGACCAGCACCTTAGTCGCATCTGGCGTTAAGAAGGGTCAGATGTGCGCAATGTTTTTGAGATGGAAGCAGCAGGATTTGGAGATAGGCTGAACATGAGGCGTGAAGGAGAGGTCGAGGTCAAAGAGAATACCTAGGCAGCGAGCCTGCATGATGGAGCTGATGTTAGCACCGTTGACTTGGAGGGAGACAGACACAGGAGTAGCAACACTTGAGGGAGAAAATACCAGAATTTCAGTTTTGGTCAAGTTGAGTTTAAGGGAGTGGGCAGCCATCCAGTTAGAAATAGCACATAGGCAGTGAGAGACACTAGTGAAGAGGGATGGGGAGAAATCAGGAGAGGACAGATAGACTTGCGTGTCATCCACATCGAAATGATATTGGAATCCAAAGGAGCTAATGAGTTTACCAAGGTAGGCAGTATAGATGGAGAACAGTGGAGGACCAAGAACTGAACCTTGGGGGACACCAAGAGAGAGGAGTTGGGGATAAGAAGCAGAGCCAGAGAAAGAAACGCTGGGAGAGGTAGGAGGAGCACCAGGAATGAGCAATATCTTGTAGATCGATATTGCGGAGGATGAGAAGAAGCTGTTTATGATCAACAGTGTCAAATGTCGCAGAAAGGTCAAGGAGAATTAGGATAGAGTAGTGACCACAAGATTTTGCAGCGAGTAGATCATTGGATACTTTGGTCAGTGCCAAAGTTCTTACACAGAGTTCTTACAGTGGAAACCAGACTGATGCGGGTCTAGCAAAGAGTTGGACTCGAGGAAGTCTGTCAATCTTGCATACACAACTCTTTCAAGGATCTTGGACGCAAAAGGCAGTTTCGAGATAGGACGGTAGTTGGATGGGGAGTTAGGGGAAAGGTTGGGCTTCTTTAGAATTGGGGTTATAATTGCATGTTTGAAGGGTGATGGAAAAATGCCAGAGGGGAGAGAGAGATTAAGAATTTTAGTGAGAGGTAGAGAAAGAGGAGAAGACAGAGTATGGATGAGATGCAAGGGAACATCTTTTGTTCAGCAACATCTTTTGAGTACAACAATGCCCCCAATGTATGTCTTACTGAACATTTAAATTTTTACAGTTAGACATTTTCTAGATGGATTTGATTGGCTTGTGTCTCATTTTAGGGCGTTATAGCAGTGTTGCTGCAATGTTTTACATATTCATTATAGTTTTATGGTAATTTCTGAAATTGGATAAGTGTCACATGATTAACCCCCCAAATTATGCTTAGCAAACTTTTCTGAACAAATCAGTACCCACAATGTATGCCTTTTGGCACTAATTTGTGAAGTTACAATGCCATATAAGAGACTACCGTATATACTCGAGTATAAGCCGACCCGAATATAAGCCGAGGCCCCTAATTTTACCCCAAAAAACTGGGAAAACGTATTGACTCGAGTATAAGACTAGGGTGGGAAATGCAGCAGCTACTGGAAAATTTCTAAATAAAATTAGATCCTAAAAAAATTATATTAATTGAATATTTACAGTGTGTGTATATGATGAATGCAGTGTGTGTGTATGAGTGCAGTGTGTGTATGAATGCAGTGTGTGTGTATGAATGCAGTGTGTGTGTATGAGTGCAGTGTGTGTGTATGAATGCAGTGTGTGTATGAATGCAGTGTGTGTGTATGAATGCAGTGTGTGTATGAATGCAGGGTGTGTGTATGAATGCAGTGTGTGTGTATGAATGCAGTGTGTGTATGAGTGCAGTGTGTGTGTATGAGTGCAGGGTGTGTATGAATGCAGTGTGTGTGTATTAGTGCAGTGTGTGTGTATGAGTGCAGGGTGTGTGTGTGAATGCAGGGTGTGTGTATGAGTGCAGTGTGTGTGTATGAATGCAGTGTGTGTGTATGAATGCAGGGTGTGTGTATGAGTGCAGTGTGTGTGTATGAATGCAGTGTGTGTATGAATGCAGTGTGTGTGTGTATGAATGCAGGGTGTGTGTGTATGAATGCAGTGTGTGTGTATATGAATGCAGTGTGTGTATGAATGCAGTGTGTGTGTATGAATGCAGGGTGTGTGTGATGCAGTGTGTGTTTGTGTTGCAGAGCCTTGGTGGGGGGTGGGCATTTTTATTAAAAAAAAAATGTAATATTATTTTAATTATTTTTGTTATATTATTTTGTTATATTATTTTTTTTATTATTTTTATTATTATTAATATATTATTATATTTATTTATTTGTTGTCCCCCCTCCCTGCTTGATACATGGCAGGGAGGGGGGCTCTCCTTCCCTGGTGGTCCAGTGGCAGTTCAGTGGGGGGAGAAGGGGGGCTGGCAGAGCTGTTACTTACCTCTCCTGCAGCTCCTGTCAGCTCTCTCCTCCTCCGCGCCGGTCCGTGCAGCTCTTCTGTCAGCTCACACTGTAAGTCTCGCGAGAGCAGCACTATGACCCCGCGGCTCTCGCGAGACTTACACTGGGAGCTGACCGAGGTGCTGACCGGACCGGCGCGGAGGAGGAGAGAGCTGGCAGGAGCTGCAGGAGAGGTAAGCGCTCGCTGCCAGCCCCCAGTCTGTATTATGGCAATGTAAATTGCCATAATACAGACACTGACTCGAGTATAAGCCGAGTTGGGGTTTTTCAGCACAAAAAATGTGCCGAAAAACTCGGCTTATACTCGAGTATATACGGTATTTCTGTTTTTACAATAAGAATTTTCAGTGATGAATTTTATGTCCCATTCTGCAGTTTCGCAGTTTAAATCACTTCATAAATTAATGCCATTTGTGAAAGTATGGTATATGGTATGTCATATGGTATATTTTGAGCCTTACTATACAGCCATTTAGCACCAATTTATTTCAAACCTTATAGTATTACTTTAATTTGGCCTTTTTTTCATGAACTTTGCTGTTTATTTTGTAAACTTGATATATGCTACTGTAATACATTGTGCTCAGCTATATCTCCTGAGTACAGAATTACCCCCTTCGTGTACACTTGACAAGTTTTCATGAAAATACAGCTGCATTTATAAACTGCTCATTGCAGTTTTTTTTGTTGTTTTTTAAAACAGATTGAAGATTGGTCTATGATGCCTTTTGGGGCATTTTAGTAGCTCACATTTTTTAAATTACTCCATAAATGCATTCAGTTTGTGAAAGCGAACACCATGGGGACTTTCACTTGATATATGCTTTATTGAGATGCCATTTTTTATTCATGTGCCCCATCATAATAAAATTATTTAGCTCCATTCAGCAATATCTCATATGTATACCTTTGCAAAGTAACAATTCTAATCTTAATCTTAATCCCAGTCTTAAATCCTTAATCCTAAACCAAGCACAAATTCTAAACCAAGATCTAAAGCCAAATTTAACCCTAAATCTAATAATAAAAAATAACCTTAATCCTAACCCATAACCTAATTCTATGCCAAACCTCAATTTTAGACTTAATCCTAACCCTATAAATAGTGATAGGATTCCCCCTGCTGATCAGTAGAAGAATTAATTTGCTGATTTTGACAGAGGGATTCCCTTGCTGGCACTAATGCTAATGCAAACCCTAATCTGAAGCCTGCATTTCCAATCCTAAAATCAATTCTAAACACATCTTAACTATAAACCCAATAATAAACCGAATACTAAACCTAATATTACATCGAAATCTCATCTTTATCCCTAATTTAATCATAATCCCAAAGCTTTCCCTCTGCATCTACAGGCTATTTTCAGTATGACAGTTTTATATCACTCTTTGACCTTTCTGCTGCTTTTGACACTGTTGATCATCAAGTTCTCATTCTTCTCATCCCTTGTAATTTCAGTCTTTGAGGTACTGCTCTCTCCTGGTGCTCCTCCTACTCCTCCTGGTTCTCTTTCAGTGTTTCTTTCTCTGACTCTGACTCTTCTCCCCAACCACTCTCTTTTGGTGTTCCCCAATATTCTGTCCCTGGTCCTCTACTGTTCTCAATCTATACTGTCTCCTTTGATAAATTTATCAGGTCATTTGGCTTTCAATATAATTTTTATGTACATGACATGCAAACCCATCTGTCCATTCCTGATCTCTCGCCATCCCTCTTGAATCGTGTCTTTGTCTCTGCTTTTTCCAACTGGATGGCTGCTCACTTCCTTAAACTTAACCTATCCAAAACAAAACTTTTGGTCTTTCCTCCCAAGTGTTGCTACTCTCTTGTCTGTTTCCCTCAATGTCAACTACAATATTATTTTAATTATTTTTGTTATATTATTTTGTTATATTATTTTTTTTATTATTTTTATTATTATTAATATATTATTATATTTATTTATTTGTTGTCCCCCCTCCCTGCTTGATACATGGCAGGGAGGGGGGCTCTCCTTCCCTGGTGGTCCAGTGGCAGTTCAGTGGGGGGAGGAGGGGGTCTGGCAGAGCTGTTACTTACCTCTCCTGCAGCTACTGCAGGCTCGCTGCCTAGGTGCAGGGCCGTCTTTACACATGGGCACGCTGGGTAGTTGCCCGGCGGCTCCACAAGCATAGGGGTCACATCACATTGCCAAGGTGCCAAGGCCGACAGGGGAAATCCTTTTGTCTCCCTTGCTGTCCCACGCAAAGCATGCCTCGCTGTCTGCCTTCCTGGTCGGTGGTGAGATCCATGAATACAATCGTAACAACCTACTTTTCTAACCTACCCTTACCTTTTGTGTCACTTTACCCCATTCTCTCTAGATTGCTGATTTGAGCAGGGCCCTCAACCCCCTCTGTTCCTGTGTGTTCTACTCGTCCGGTTACAAATACGTGTCTGTTAGTTCACCCATTGTACAGCGCTACAGAATTTGTTGGTGCTTTATAATAATGTGATAAAAATATTTTTAACATTGAATATAGTATGCCCAATGTATTGGGACTAGAGATGTCGCGAACTGTCGGCCGAACTGTTCGCGAACTGTCCGCCGGCGAACAATAGCGTGTTCGCGTTGGGCGAACATATCCGATTTCCAGTCCGCCCCCTATACGTCATCATTGAGTAAACTTTGACCCGGAACCTCACAGTCAGCAGACACTTCCTGGGAGGGAGGGTCTGCTGCTGATTGGGTGGAATGTGTCTGCTGGCTGTGAGGTTCCGGGTCAAAGTTTACTCAATGATGACGTATAGGGGGCGGACTGGAAATTGGATATGTTCGCCCAACGCGAACACGCTATTGTTCGCCGGCGGACAGTTCGCGACATCTCTAATTGGGACCAGTGCTAGGCAACTGACAAATTTCAGCACTGATCAAAATGCCAATTTTTAGAGACACTAATTTATGCAAATATTTACTGAGGTGTGATGCTTGCGACTTACGGAATGAGGAAGGGACGGAATACCCTACATATGTCAGTCAAAATCTTAAGATATAGTTAGAATTTAAATCTTGTTCACTAATGGTAGCCTCCAGTACACTACAAAATATACATTTATTCTGACAATAAAGGTGGGTATTCCATACTTTTATGCATATTTTGGTGTGTCTCTGTGTGTTTTGTGGTGTGCAATGTAAATTTAAACTGAATCCTTACTAATTCTTTAAGGGAAATTAAGGCTTTGTGAAATCAAGGTAAAGTCGTATTTATAGGTATAGAATTACATTTTGTTTGTCTTCAGCAAGATAGGAAATACTGCAGATGGAACACACTGATGACAGTTTATTAAATTAACTAAATTGCATTATAGTCCAAGCTTTTAAGACTAATTAGGTCTCTTCTTCAAGCACGTTATCCAATGAAAACAGAAATATCATGATTGTATTTCATTATATAATGTCGTCTGAAGCAGAGATTACAATTGTCTTAAAATATTGCTCTCCAGCTCAGTTCACATTGTTAAAAAGGTACCATATTTATTAGAACTTTTATTTATCTTTTTAAATGTATACACATATTGGTTTAATTTATGTGATGTAAAACACGTTTCATTATCATTTAAAATTTTCTTTTTGAAATGCAATTTTTTTTTTTAATTAACGAATCAAGAAATTTCAAATGTCACTTTGGCTATGGACCAATGAATGTATCTGCATTGCAAGCATCCTTAAAGAACACAATACCCACTACCACCGACTTGTCCTGGTGCCCTCCCAGGGTAAGAAGTCAAAACATTTGTGAACTTTATTACAATTTACTTATGGTCTGCCGAATGCTGATTCCTCTGAAAGATCCTGCATTGAGTCAGCCTGGCAGTTCAGGAGAGCACTCATTCATTGAGAGCACTCAGCTGACACACTCGGCAAATGAGTCAGCCCTTCATGGGAAGGATTAACTCATTGGAGCTAATGAAAGCTTCTTGCCCTCCATACCTGGCTGGGCGCCCAGCGATATACTCTGTCTTGTTACTGCTACACTTTGCCTGTACTTATGGAATGCTATTAATAAAAACCTTGAATAACAAAAAAAAAAAAAAATGAAAGCTTCTTGCAGGAACTTACAGCTTTGGGGAGGAAGTAACTGGCAACCAGGAAAGTTATCAAATCTTTCTCAAATGATTTGACTACTTACCATGGTAGGGCACTAGGGAACTCTTGGCAAAACAAACACTACAGTAAGCAGGGTTTAATCCTAACCTCTAACTCATTAATCTGAAGTGGTTATGGTGCTTGCAGTCTGTATTTAAAGCATTTCAGTTTGAAACACTGCACATACAGCCTGGGCTTGCTAATGTCAATTCTATACATAGAAGCAT